GAGGTTGCTGTGAGCTAGGCTGACGCCACGGCACTCTAGCCCGGGCAACACAGTGAGACTCTGTCTCAAAAAAAAAAAAAGAAAAATTTAATCGAGCACTTATCAATGCCAGTACTTCAGAGAGCACCGGGTATACGAGAGAAAACACAACAGACTCATCCTGTCCTCCCTGCGCTTACAGCTAGAGGGAAGTTCTGTTCTAGAGAGTAGCAGAGTGGTGATTGGGGTGGAGTAGGGAGTAATTTAGTGGGTCATCTAGGAGTGCTTCTTGGAGGAGGTGGCAGAGACCAGGCTAAGAAGGGGCAGCCAAGCGAAGACAGGGCCCGTTTTCTCCACTTCAATGCAAGGCTACTCTCCTTATACCGGGTTTATGTGTTGAGCTTTCACGTAAGATGCCTTCTGTTGAAAGGTTTTCATACTAAGAGAACGTTGCAAACCCTGACTGGGTAGCAGTGGCGCAGTGCAGTGCGGGAGTGAGGACAGGGGAGCTGGGGAGGAGCAGCCAGGGCTGTGTCACCACTCCTTCCCCGACCCGCAGGTTCCCAGTCTCTGACGGCTCTAGCTACTTTGTGCGACTCTACACGGAGCCGCTGCTGGTGAACCTGCCGACACCGGACTTCAGCATGCCCTACAACGTGATCTGCCTCACGTGCACCGTGGTGGCCGTGTGCTATGGCTCCTTCTACAATCTCCTCACCCGGACCTTCCACATCGAGGAGCCCAGCACGGGCGGCCTGGCCAAGCGGCTGGCCAACCTCATCCGGCGCGCCCGAGGTGTGCCCCCGCTCTGAGGCCCGCCCTCTTCAGCAGCTGCTGTTTCTCTTTGAGAGGCTTGGTGGTGACCCCAGGGGCTCTTTCTACCACTCGCTCTCCCCAGAGTTGGCTTTTGAACCAACTGCCCCTGGACCACGCCAGGGCCTAGAGCTGCGCTGTCTAGTCCAGTAGCCACAAGCCAAATGTGACATTTGAATTTAAACTAATTTAAACTAGAAATTCATTTCCTCAGCTGTAGCGGCCACAGTTGAAGTGCTCAATAACCAAGAGTGGTTGGTGGCTACTGTATGGGACAGCGCAGAAAAGCACTTCCATCTCTGCAGGAGGTGTTACTGCACAGCACTGGCCTGGGTGACAGGGTGTGCTGAGGAGTCTGTGTCGCTGTGTGGTGGGTGGGATTTACTTGTGGAATAAAAATCAGCTGCTTCCTTGGTTCTTTGCCTCCTGTCTTTGAGGCCTGGGAAGAGCGGAGGACTAGGGCCTGTTTGCTGGGTGCCTCAACAGGACCTCCGAGCCTACCTCGCCACCTAAAAAGACACCCAGCACCTCCCCTACCTCCTTTCACCCCTGCCAAAAATTCCTTCTCTGCCCCTCACTCCTCCCCTCGCCCCTCCTCCCCATCCTCCTCTGACTGTAGTTCCCAGAACGCCCTGGGTTTGGCTGGGAGTGTTTTCTGTAAGCAAAATCATGACCATGAAAATGAATCATCCTGCGTTTCGGGGTCTCTGAAAACCAGTCCACATCACCAAGGGGAGGAGGGGAGGGAGGAGAGGTTTGGCTTGCAGTTCTTTAGCTGTAGTGTGCATCAGAATTACGGGGGGCACTTATGAGAATAACGCAGATTCCTGGGGTCCAGATCCTACTAATTAATTCAGTTGATCCGGGTGTAGCCCACTTTCCAATGTTTAGCAGGCTCTTCGGGACCTTGTGTTGCAGGTGGTCCTTAGACCACCCACGGGCTTTGAAGCCAGCCCCATTGGATTGAAGCCTGCCCCTGCCTACCTCCCCTGCTTGTTATATAACCTTCATTCCTGTAAAACAAGCCCTTGAGCTGATGTCTCCTGCTGCCCTCATCTCCTGTAAAGACATCTCCTCCTCTAGCAACTTGGCATCAACTGTGTAAGTTATTTGCGGTTACCTCCCCACCCCCCAGCCCACTCAGTTCTCCTGCAATAGCAGTTTAGCCTAGAATGCCCTGTTCCATGAACCACACACACCCTTGAGCTGCCTGCTTCACTCTTACTTACAAAACCAGATGAGAAGTTGCTTCCTCCAGCAAGTGTCCCCTGACATGCCAGGCTGGGGAGGTGCCCCTCATCCAGCTCCCTGGACTTACCGTTACATGTTCCTTATCACCTGGCTGCCGTCGTCCTTTCAGTGCCATTAGACTGTGTGCTTCCTGGAGGCACAGGGACATCTTCTATCGAGGCCAGACCATCTCAGGATGTGTTGTAAGTGCTCAGTCAGCAAATGGTGCTGTGAACGGGTGTGGGCTATTCTGGCTTGGGATCTGGGCTCTGGGGATAGGGCTGGGGCAAGGGGCACCCTAGAAGCACCACGTGTCGGAGTGCAGCAGACTAGCAGTAGTAGCATTGGTGGTGTCTGTCCAGCCAACACAGATGGATGGTTTAGGTTGCCTCAGAGGGTTTTCCAAGAGCTCCCAGAATATGCAGGTGATGTGTGTACATGCACAGGAAGGAAAGGTGGTGGGCTAGTCTAGACCATGGACAAAAGCAGCTCGGTCAAGGTGCTTCACTTGAGTTTACTTCCAAAGCAATAAATAAGCAGGCTTGGCCGGGCACGGTGGCTCACTCCTGTAATCCTAGTACTCTGGGAGGCCGAGGCGGGCGGATCATTTGAGCTCAGGAGTTCGAGACCAGCCTGAGCAAGAGCGAGACCCTGTCTCTACTAAAAAAAAAAAAAATAGTAATTGGCTGGACAACTAAAAATACATAGAAAAAATTAGCCGAGCATGGTGGCGCATGCCTGTAGTCCCAGCTACTCAGGAGGCTGAGGCAGAAGGATTGCTTGAGCCCAGGAGTTTGAGGTTGCTGTGAGCTAGGCTGACGCCACGGCACTCTAGCCTGGGCAACACAGTGAGACTCTGTCTCAAAAAAAAAAAAAAAAAATGAAAATGTTCACTAGGAGACTGACAGGCTACTGTGCAGTTATTAAAAACCATAGTGCTGATCTATATACATCAATATGGCTCACATATTTGTTGAATAAAAAAATCAAATTACAAAAAAGGAGCTGTAGTGTGGTCCTATTGATATAAAATATATGTATGAACCCATACGGTGATGACTTGAAGGTGGATCCCCAGTATATTTAGAGTAGTTATCTCTGGGTGATAGAATTTAGGTGGTCTTTATTTTCTAAAAATTATTTTTAGTATTGTGTAAATGACAATGAACAAGTATCACTTTTATAAACAGGAAAAAGGTATTTGCATTTAAAAAATCTTTAACATCCGTGGGTGATGAGCAAATAAAGAAGCTGATATCTTTTATTGAATCACTTATTTTAACTCCTTTCACATCTGGATCTGGTTCTCACACAAAGTGATTTATTAAAATCCTGCGCGCACATATGCCTCTCAGCCACCGGACACTCAGGAGCCCAGGGTGCCCCTTCGTGGGATGGAAGACACACCGTTTTCGTACGTACGTCTTCCCCAGTAAGGACAGTGTCCCTCACTGGTCTGTGAGTCCTCAGTGGAGCTGCCCCTGGCCATGCTGCACATACTGGGAGAGCCCTCATCCTAGAAGAGGGGAGCGATCTTCAACCTGGGTGGCACAGAATCACCTGGGGAACTTGGAAAGTCCTGATGCTCAGGCTGCACCCCAGACCAATTAAATCAGAATCGTGGAGGGTGGGACACACAGGTCCCCAGGTGACACCAATGTGTAGCCAAGTTTAGGAACTTGGTCTCATTTTTAAAGTAGTGCAAAAATTTATTTTCTCTCCTAAGCATTCTAACAATGGATACCTCTGGGGAGTAGGACTGTTGGGGCTGTTCAAAAAAGGGGACCCACTTTTTAACTTCACACATTTATGCATTGTTTATCTTCTTGAAACAAAAATAAATGTATTGTGTTTATCATAAAAAGTAAAATATGGTGATAATTTAATTAAACCAAATAGTCATCTGGAAGGTCTGGCCGCAGATCTTCCCCAGGGCTGGATGGTGACCACAGGTGAGCCCCTTTCCATATCTGGGCCTTGGGCTCCTTCTTGGGTGGATTGACCAGGTGGCTTGTGGGAGCCAGCACCCCTCACATAGGCTGTGGGTTTCAGGAGTCCTTTGTCTCAACACTTTGGCTCATTTGAGGTCTTCTCTGAGCTGCCCACCCTGCAGATGGCAAGGCAGAGGGCAAAGGGGGCTGCTGGGCTCTATGGTGCCAGTGGCTGAGAGGTGTGGGCCAGGGCTGGAGTCCGGAACTTGTACCTGCAGCTGAAGGTGAAGGGGCCCTATTCCTCTGGCCGAGGGAAGAGGAACCACCCTGGACAAGGGCTGTGATCCCAGATGACCTGGACTCCTCGTCTGGAGGTGGTACCGCTCACCTTGGAGGGGTTCACAGGAGCTACTGAACAAGTCTCCAGTTCAGTACTCCCGCCTCATCTGGAATGCCAGTCTTCAGCCTCATCTACTGCAGACTCAAGTCCATGAGATCTTATACTGGTAAGCAACCCTCTAGGGCCTCAGTTTCCCTCTCTGTAAAACAAGTGGGCTGGACAATGGTCCCTAAGAGAGATCAGCTGTTCTCCATTCTATTATTATTGGTTTCCATCCAGAGCCTCCCAGCTAGTTGTCTCAACAGCCCAGGAGAGAAAACATAGCTCTTTGTCCATTGGTTTATTTATTTAATTTTGGAATAACGAGTTTATTGTTTTATATGAATAATCATACTTATTTTAAAAGATCAAGCTATGCTGAATAGTACAAACAAGGAGCACAATTGCTCCCCCAAATTGTACCATGGTGCTGTGCAACAGAAATATAATGCAAGCCACAAATAGAATTTTAAATTTCCATGCTCACTTCAGCAGCGCATATACTAAAATTGGAACAATACGGAGAAGATTAGCATGGCCCCTATGCAAGGATGACATGAAGAAAAGAAAAAAAAAGAATTTTAAATTTCCCAGTAGCTACATTTTAAAAAGTAAAAAAAAATAGATTTAAGGGAAGAGATTATGTTTAAAGATGTTTTCATTATTATCTAATTTCAAGGAAACAACATATAATTTTTAAAGTTGGAAAGATACTAATTGATCTCTCCTACCTTAAAGACTAAAGAACTGAAACCCGGACACATCAAGTGGCTTGCACATGGCCATGGACAAATGAGCGGCAGAGTAAACTCTACCATAAGTCTTCAGGGACCAGTGCTATAACCATTTCACAGTGCTATTTTTGTTCTTCTTCCAGTTTCCTGGTGTTTTAAATTTTCCTTTCAACTCTAAAATTACGTGTACCTATGAGTCTACCTATTTACTTACATGAACAGGCACCCAAATAAGTGAAGGAAACTGTAGATATTAACAAATCTATATATATCCTTTGGGTAAGATGA